GGATCATAAATCTCCGCTCTGTGAGCGTAAAGAGATATATATTGGCCAATAAACAAAGACGCAGCCAAGTCTATATTAATCTCGTATAAGAAACGAGTAATTTCTGGACACATGGTCCAAGCATCAAAAGAGTATTATGATACTCAAGACAAAACGGTGTGTCGCACCGGGTTTTGTCAAAATCACTCGATATTGAGTTGATGAATAAATGACTTGAATTGCGCCTCATGGGATGTCTGTAGGACTAATCTCTGAAACATATATGATATCATAGTTATATTCCCAGGAACTTATAAGTATGATGATTGTGAACATCATCAAACTCTTAAAGAGTTATTTTGAATAAAAGATCTTGGAAACACAAAAGTGTCTCCAGATATTCCAACTAAACATCTAAAGAAAGAGATGTTATATTAGTCACTTCTAAAAGAAGTCAACTCTATATAGTTTGATCATGAAGCACTATATATAAATGCTGACGAGTATTTATATATTTTGTGAATTGTAGCTAGCATATATAAATGTTGACGAGCATTTATATATCTAGTGAATATATTGTATCTAGCATTTGCTATTGATCTACTTGCAGAATTAATTCATCTCCTCCGACGAGACCTTGAATGAGTTCATGTGTCTTCCATTATCGCTGCAAGGTACGATTGACTTGGGTTTATTTTATTCTAGAAACCCCGAGTTTGGTTTAGTTGGTTTTGCAGATGGATGATCTATATGAATATATATCGCAAAACAACAACTACGTGGCGTTTCCAACAACAAATTTTGGCCGCCGCTTGCTTAAGCCATGCCAAAATTATTGTGCTCCATGAAGCATGTCGAGAATCTGTATGGCTCAGATTGATGCCTTGAACATATACAAGTAACAAGAAATATATGCACCAGTGAAGAGCCAACAACAAGACGTTGTTACATATGTTTCCCAACTCAAAGAAAGATATGTCAAGAGCGAGATGACAAGACATGTTCTCCCAAGATTCTTCTCATGCACTCAAGAATCTGAGAAGAAGCAAGAAGTTGATGTTCAGTACATCTGGCCAAGTAACAATGTAGCAGTTTTAGTTCAAAGGTGCTGCCTGCTACGCCATTCAAAATTCATCTTTTGAAGATGATGCTTGCAGGGGGAGACATATGATGATGAGCGTGGCTGCACTCTTTTCCCCTTATCATGGTTTTTATCCCACTGGGTTTTTCCATGACAAGGTTTTTAACGAGGCAGCAAATAACACACAAAAGATAGACAACAAAGTGAAGGTCTATCTCTCTTCAAAAATCTCTGTCATGCATTGACGAGATCAGACAAAGCGAAAGAATGATCGAGATGCATCTTCTACGAAAACTCTGAAGAGAACAAAATTTATCTGTTCCAGGGGGAGATTACATCACTGCACTCTTTTTCCCTTATCATGGGTTTTATCCTATACGGTTTTTCCATGATAAGGTTTTTAACGAGGCAGTACGTATTACATTGATAGTGATGGATACTCAAGGGGGAGTGTTATAAATGGATAAACATCCATTATTAACAATTATCTATTGTGGTGATTATCCATCGAAGCCTTCCCCTATACGTAACTTGGTCATCAAGTCTTTTATCCTCACTCTCCTATATAAATATGTACGTTGGAAAGAAGTAAGAAACTAGAGAGAGAAGAGAGAAACTTAATAATAGAGAGATGTTTGTCATTATTATTACTCCAATTCTCTCTCTCCCACTCGTGTTCTCTTTTCTTATACATATATATATATTTAGTTGTCTACTCATATCAATATACACATATATATATAATTGTTTGAGTTATATTTTATAACATATCTCATATAATAAAGGTGTAAAAGATTTTTTTAAATGGGCTAATCCTGGTAATGCGAGTTTACCATCATAAAAAGTATGTTGATATTGATATTTATTGTTCTAGTAGATTCCTAAATAGGTGTTTGAACTTTTGATTGTAGCTTTTGCTGAAGAAATTATATAGATGAAGAAAACCAAATGCCTATATAGATGAAGAAAATTCTTTAGATTTCTATATAGATGAAGAAAACCAAATGCTTATGTTATACATAAAATTATTAAATACAATACATATTTGATTTTACAACATGATTTATTCAAAAAGAAAGAAGACTTACATGTTATTAAGTGAGAGTGTAACCTTGCCTTGGTTAACTTTAAAACCCACCTTTTCCTCCGGATAATCTCCAAGATCAACCAGCTGATCCTTGGGGATCGAAATCACACCAGTTTTTTGTCCACTTTAGTGACAACCCTAAACATCAGTGACAGAAACGTCAATATCTAAAACATAAGAGATTTTACCAAGTATGCCTATGTTTTGCTCTAATTTGTAGATAACTCTAAAACCATATTTGCTACTACAGTTCCAAGCAAATCAACCCCTAAAATGAGAACCACTAACAACAAAATTGAAAAATTCCAAAAGATTTCACTCACTTAACATGATCAAGAAGGTCATTCGCTTGTTTCTTGGAGGTTCTAGCTAGTCTGAGATAGATCCATATCACAGAACTGTTGAGGTTCTGAAAAAGATGAAAATTGGCGATTTGTGTGATTAAAAAAAGTGGCGACTGTGAAAGAAAACCTTTTAGGGTCTAAGACATTATATAGGCAGCGAAAAACAATAATTTGAGGAGCCAAAAAAATTGATTAGTGGGCGAAAAACCAAATTTTAGGAGCAAAAAAAAATGTTGAGCAGGAAATAGGAAAGAATTTGGCACCATGGAAAATGAAGAAAAAAGAAAAAAAAATTCTACGCAACTTGGACGTTTCGAACTTGAATGATTAAACTCTTACCTCTTCATTTTTACTTTAGATTCTTACCTCTTCATTTTTACTTAAGATTCAGACAGATCGATCCAAGGACTAATCTCCATCCACATATCAATCCAATTCAGAGAACCGCCCACAATCTCGATCCAACGAAAACAAACCCACAAAGAAACCAAACTCCTCTTGGCTCGAAGGAGAGAGAGAGAGAGATGAAGAAGACTTACATAAAATTATTATGCCTATGTTATAAGTGAGAGTGTAACCTTGTCATGGTTAACTTTAAATAGATGGGCTTTAATACACTACCGTAGGTTATCTCTTAGCTGATGATCTTAAAGATGAGGATGAACTGGAAGAGAATGAACCTGCTGATCTTGATGAGAATGAATTGGAAGCGAATGAAGTTGTTGATCTTCAACAAAATGAAGCTGAATTGGAAGAGAATGATGCTGGATTTGATGAGGATGATACTGAGTTTGCTGATGGAAATCTTCAGCATATTGATCATCAAGACTTGGCTTCGATCTTTGAAGCCTCAACCAACCGCTGATTAACGGCTGGCGAACTTTCTCAAATCTTTCAGAGAAGATTTGAACTTCCACTTATTGCCATTCCGTTGAAGGTCTTTACTATATTGACTCGTCTAGCTATGTTGATCGTAATGTCTGGGATCATGTGCAGCCAGCTCCTCCTAATCGCTTTTGTAGATCCGCTAGATTGGTTTGTAACAACTTTTGTTTTGATATTATTGATTTCTTTGATGACTTATAACTTTCCATTTCTGTTTCAGAATAATGATGTCCCTATTAATCTGATAATTGCAAGAGCAAATTTAGGGCCTGAGCTATATTATAAAAAACGAGTTCACATGAATAGAGATTGGTTTCTTTATCCATGTCTCGTGCATTACCGACTGAGCTTGGATCCATATGGTGTTGATCCCTTTTGGGTTTTGAAAATGTAAATGCTCAATCCAAGACTTCCCTTAAACATATATTTGTATATTAGTAGTTTGATATGTACATATACGGAAAAGACTACTAGGTTTATAAAAAAACGCAAAACAATGCAAGAGAGATTAATAGTCAAATTAAAGATATACTAACGAATATTTATAACATAAAATAAACATAATATATATTTATATATATATATATATAAAGAAAAAAAACAAAAGAAATTGATAGAATATTAGAAAATCTAAAAACATATTTAATTTACCACACGAAACAAAAAAAAGATCTGAGAGTATCGCAGATCCTCTATAGATATATTATATGTAGGTTATCCTTGGATGGAGCTACATTCAAAAAATTTGCGCGAAAAACTATACGCCATAGTTTGTTCTTTCTCTACAAAAACATATTTTGTTCAACATAAACTCAGAAGTAATACATATATATATTAACAATAATAATAATTTGTATACAATTTGAAAAAATTTATAAATTTAGTTTATTAAAGTTAGGGGTGGGCATTTTTAACCGAACCGAACCAAACCGATCCTACTCAACCAAACTCAAACCGACCCAAACCAAATCCAAGGTTAGACTCAAACCATTCAAGTATGTTTCTTCTCAACCCAAATGGGTCGGTTCGGTTCGGTTTAAAACCTAAATATGTAATTGTTCATTTGAATTATTATTTTTATGGTGAATTATTCAATTTAAAGTTACAACTTGAACTTGTTGTTTAATTATTTTAAATATTATCAAGTTCAATGTTCAAAGTTGAAACGACAATGAACTAAAGAATTTTGTTTTGTTATATTAATTGATTTTTGAACAGAACTAAAACCAAACTAAACCGAACATAAACTGACCCAAACACAAACTAAACCAAACTAATTTCGGTTGAGTTTGGTTAGAGTTTTACGAGACCCAAATAAATTGAACCGAACCAAACCTAAACCAAACCCGAAGTTAAACCGAAAAGCCCACCCCTAATTAAAGTTTGATGGACTTGTGTGGATCTTTACAAAGTTAAGCAATTCAGCTCCTGGGCCAGTAAGGCCCATATTTACACGTTGTCACAGATATTTATTTTTGCCTCTTAAAATAGTTTCTAACGAAAAAAAGAAAAAAAAAGAGAGAAGAGAAAAGCATTATCCCTTACGACGAGGAAGCCGTCGTTTTGAGGGTTCGTACAAATCCTGAGATCTTCCCTTCTTGTCTCCTTTTTTAATCTCACTCCGTCGTCGTTTTGATTCATTCAAAGTTCTTCGTCCTCTGTTCCGCGCTGTTTTCTGGTTAGTCCTCCTTTCTCCGGCGTCGTTTCGTGTTTAACGTCTCTGTCTCTCTGATTCCATATCGTTTCTTCTCTGTAACCGAACAATGATGATAAAAATCAAACCTTTTTCTCTGTTAATTGAATTCCTAGTGTTGAGGAAATCTCTGTCTTTTACATTTCAAAGATTGGATTTTGTTTTAGGGTTTCTTCGATTTGATGGATTCGAATCTAGAATTTGCTTCGAATTTGCTTCAGGGCACATCAAAATTATTGTTTTTTCTGGTAAAGTTTGAAGCTTTGGAGCATTTTTTGATTAAAGTTTGAAGATTTATTTGGTTTTGTGTAGGTGAGTGTTGATTTCAATGGATGTCTTAGCGAATCCAGGTCCACTTAAGGACATTGTGCTTTATGATCAAGAGAAACATGTTTCCTCTGCTGTTTGGGATGGCCAGGTTTAAACTCTTATGGTTCTTCTCTATACTTATAATCGATTTGTGGAAGTTGTGACATGAATTTGATGACTTTGCTTACTATTGTTGTTTATGTATTTGCAATAATGTGGTTTAGGAGCGAGGTGCGTTGAGGTGTCATGAGCATACTTCAAAGTTGGGTGAGTGGAAGCTTAAACCAAAGCAGATAGAATTGGTGGAGAGAGCTGGTTTTGGGTTTTTGAGACGGATCCCTGCTATTAGTCTTGATAACCCTCTTATCTCTGCGTTGGTCGAGCGATGGAGGAGAGAAACCAACACTTTTCATTTCACTATTGGGGAAATGACTGTGACTCTTGAGGACATTGCCTTGTTACTGGGATTGGGGATTGATGGTAAACCTGTCATTGGAGTGACGTATACAACTTGTTCTGCGATATGTGAGAGGTACTTAGGGGAGGCACCAGCATCTAATTACGCTAGTGGTGGGATGGTTAAGCTTAGCTGGTTGAAAGAGAAGTTCTCTGAATGTGAAGTTGATGCATCTTTTGAAAAAGTTGAGCGCTGTACACGGGCTTACCTCTTGTACTTAGTAGGGAGCACCATCTTCTCTACTACCACTGGAAACAAGGTGCCTGTTATGTATCTTCCGCTGTTTGAGGATTTTGATGATGCGGGAACATTTGCTTGGGGTGCAGCTGCTTTGGCTTTCTTGTATAGAGCACTTGGCAATGCTTCTGTTAAATCCCAAAGCACGATATGTGGTTGCTTGACGCTATTACAGGTACTTAATTTTTCATTTCTTGTTCTTAAACTGTTGATCCAAGAGGATATTATTACCGAGTCTATCCAGAATGTTTCTGCTTGTTTCAGCAGTTTGAATACTTATGAAATCGAAGACATTGATTTAATCTTCTTTCCTTATCTTTTGTTTTCTGTAGTGTTGGAGTTACTATCACTTAAACATTGGCCGGCCAAAGCTGAATCGCGAGCCCATCCATGATCATTTCCCATTTGTGCTTAGGTGGAAGGGGAAGCAAAATGGTCCAACAGCAAACCGTGATGTGGTCTTTTACCGGAAAGCGTTGGACGTCTTGAAGCCATGTGAGGTAAGCTTGTTTATCTTTCACATTCATCAGCTACTCTTCTTTGTGTAAAATTCTATTGATCTAATGTTGCTGATATACCTTGGGAATTAGGTGGAGTGGCTTCCGTATGAAAATATGGATGGTAGATTCATACCGGATCATATTAGAAACTCTCTGCAGTTGGGTAGATCGAAAACAATGCTGATATCTTTTGACAAGGCGGAGAGACATCTGCCTGATCGCTGTCTCAAACAATTTGGCTTGTTTCAAGACATCCCAGCAGATGTGCAAAGGTGGGTAAGAAAGTCCCGTGGCGTTGATGGAGGGGTTGACCTGTCGGTTAAAATGGAATCAGAGTTGAGTGAATGGGAAATGCGGTGGGAAAACATTGTGCCTGATGATGTTCTAGGTGTTGATGAAGCAGACTACATGAGGTGGTATCTGGGAATTACCCGAAAAATTGTGGGAAGGCCCATCTCTCTCTCAAGCGAGTTTCAAAGAACGGTAATAGCTAAGAACAAGTTTCTTGACACTCAGTCGTTTTGACATTACGTTTCTATGTATGACCTTAATACTTTATCCTCCCTGTTATTGCAGATTTCAAATGTGAGGGATATATTGGAGTTGGCTGAGAATTTTCAAATACATGATTTGGACCTTGAAAGAGGCAACATGATTTCACGGATTATAGGCCTTGCGCAAGATTGCCTGAGAGATCAAGTTGGAGTAACGGCTACAACAGAAAGCCAGCAGCAGATCGAACTTGGGAAAAGAATGCGCGGTAAAGAGAGGGTGAGAAGGAAGGGGATGGGAAAGAGAAGAAAAGGTATCGATCCAATGGAAGACTATGGAGGTAGTGAAGATGAATCTCAGTTTGGACCTTTGGTTGAGGTTGGTCAGATGCATTTACCGCTTAGTCATACAAATTCGGTTTACGATGGAACACATATGTACGATGCTGTCACCAAAGTTGATGACATGGAGCTTTGCGACACCATCCCTCAATTGCCCGAGACTCAAGACATCCACAAGATTGAAGGGTCATTGCTAGACGACACAGACAAGTCTATTGAGGACAGTAAGTTACAAGAAGAAATTGGAGTAACTAATGTTCTGAGTGGCGAGGAGCCAACTGAGAGCTATGATGTGAAGAAAGAAGATAAAGAATCAAAGGCTGAAGATGATGATGCAACAAAGGGCTTTAGTGATGTGAGCGGTGAAGAAAACGCGAACAGAGAGGAAGAAGATGGAACAGAGATAGGAGAAAGTGTTGCAGAGTCGTCTTCTCTTGAAAGAAGAGGAGAGAACACTGTGTTGGCTTGAAACCAGTTGGTTTTCTTCTCATCTGATTAACCAATGTGAATTTCTGCCTCTTCTTTTCAATGAGAGTTATAATATACATCAAGGCAAATCAGGATTGATGAAGAAAAGCTGGAGAAGAAGTTGAGTTTAGTTTTTATGTTGTGTTTTTTTCTTTTCCTAACTTGTAGTCTTTAAGTACTGCCTTTTTCAAGATTATGTTAAATTGTTTGTAGAAGAGGTAACAGAAGAAAGATAGTTCTTTTGCCAGATATGAAGTTGTCGAATAGTGATACATTATATGACTCTCTCATTATACAAACTAGGAAGAAATTTCAGAAGAGATGGAGACTATCTTCGGACAGCCCCGGCCCAACTTAAAATATTGACCCTTGTGCAAAAAAAATTTGGACCTTTCATTATTAATTTTTTTTTTTGAGTTTTTTTGAAGTTTTAGTTAAAATCTGAACCATTTAATAAATAACTGTTGAATTATTTTAAATTTTTTAAAATATTTACAGGCCCTTTATGTAAAACAATTTTTTTTTGAAATATATTGAATAAAGGATTTCGAGTGATTGGTATTAAAATTGTTTTACATAAAAGAGCCCGTAAAATGACAAATCGTATGTTATTCAAATATGAATTTTAAAAAGTTTTTAAAAATTAAGTGTTATTGGATTAGTAATTTTAAAATGGACAATCAAATCCACTATTATTGGAATCAATTTAAGTAGTGGATTTGAAGTGATATAAGTGACTTTAAGTGAGATTTAGGAATTTCTTAGTTACAAATATAAAGATCCAAATCCCATGGTTTTAGGTGAGATTCGAGAGAATTTTAATAACAAATTTTCTAATTCTCTAAAGTTTACAAAAATCACCTCAAAACTCATTAAAACTCAAATCATTCCAAATACATTATCTAATACATCTCCTGACCCTTTTTATTAAAGATTTTCATAAGAATGTACCTGATATATGTCATGAGAAACGTATCATCTAACCGTTAGATCAACGACGTCCACATATATTATTGTACACCGCATCACATCCAATTATAACCTCTCCTTCCCACTTTCTTCTTCTCTCGAAGCTTTCTTTCTTCATTAGTCATTTCTAAGTCCAACCATCTGATTTTTGGACAAGACCTTTTGTTCTTCTCTCTCTGAAACCCAATTTGAGGTTGTTCGATTCGATCTACGAGATTCTTGATCTTATTACAAGAACTTAAGCGGCTTCAGTTTTTATTTGGTCGGGTGATGATCTTCTCGATGTCTGTGCTAGGTAAATTCTTTTTTATTTTTGAAGTTGTATTAAATTCTTTAATTTAGTTTAGTAATTAGTATTAAATGCTTAATCTTTATGCGAATCTTGATACTGGGTCGTCTCTAACTCCGTAGAATATGGAACCAATTTGCCGACTTTTTATAATTTGGTTAAAAGATTTTAGCAAATGCTTTAATTTTGGGGTTTAAATCCCTACAAAAATGGGTATTTTGTTTGTTTCAAAGATGTCTATTGGTAATACTTGAGTCTAAAGATCTAAATTTTAGATCTTTATGAAGATTGTAATTGACATAGAAATTTCCAAAAGTGGAGACTTTTAGTGGTTATTCTGCAATATTATGTTCCTAATTTATACTAAATCTTACGAATCTCATAAACAATCAAAAGCTAAGTCTATTAAGCAAGCAAACATTAAACTATATATGGTTGTCTTTTATACAAAATAAAAAAGTTGTGCTTTAGACATATATGTTTTTACTTTGGTTTCTATATCACTGATTTCACCATCAATTCACCAAAAATGCATCAAATTATGTTGTTCGATCAGTTAAGATAATTGCTGCTTTGTTTGTTGGTTTGAATATGATGATTGCTTGTCCATTGGCGATTTAAAGGTGACTGCAAATGTAAAGATATGATCGGCACTTCACATTGCGTTAAAAAATTGAATGGTCGAACGGTAGCATCATCAATTAATTTGTAAAGTTTTCATGATATAATAATCTTTATTTTTTCTTTCTATATGTAAAACTAAATTTATAATAAGGTAATAAATAATATAGAATAATTTATTTTTTAAAAAAATTAGTCATACTATTTAAACTTGATTACCATTCGAACTCAGTAAATAGCTTAGCTTGTCGACCAAACAAAATAAAATCTTTTTTAAAACTCTTTCCCAAAAGTTCAAAGCTAAAAAGTATTCATGATTTTGAAAATAAACAGCCGAAACGCTATACGCTTCCTCCACACGCACACCAATAGATTCAAAGCAAACGCAACTCCTATCAAATCGCTTAAAAACGCCGATTTTCGCGTTACAGTAACAACTCGAAAAATGGTGACACTGATCGTAGCCACCACCTCCGATCCAGCGTCGATCAATCCTGCAGCGGCGCTTCTCGCCATGCCCGGTTGGATCGCCGGACCTATCTTACCGCCGGTAAAGTTTCTCAATCTTTCTCCGCATGTAAAGTTTCAATCTTTGACTAACACTTTCCGGCTACGATTCTTTTCAGGACATAAAGAGTTTCAGTAACAAGCAAACGAGAGTGATTCAACACGATAGATCTATAGTTAAAGAAGACGATCTTGATTTACGTTGGGAAGAAGCTACCGGTGAAGTTATTGATGAAGTCATCTTCCTCAGCCGTCACACCGCCGTCTCAAATCGTCCTGCTTTAACTGTTCATCCGATTGGTAATGCATAAAAATCCAAACTTTTGATTTGGGTTTTGTTTGTTTTATGAGTTTCTGAAGGATGATGTTTTGGTTGATAAGTGTAGGAGTGCTTCATCTAAAGGATGGAGAATCACCGCCGCAAGGAGGAAAGCCAGGATGGGCGGCGTTGCCAAACCCTAGAATTGGTCCATGGTTTCGTCTTTTGAAGAAAATGGCTGAAGCTCATGGTTTAGTTCCTGAGTTTGAGGTATTTGTTGTTTAGTCTCTCTCTCATGAGTTTTGGTTTTCGTTGGAATTGAAATTTGGTTTTAAGTAAGGTGAGAATGTAAATTGCTTTATGTGGATGTAGATAACATTGGAAGCTACTCATCATGGACCAATAACTAACAAGCCAACGATGTTTTTGGAGATTGGTGAGTTTCTTTCTTTGTTTCTTTTATCTGAATTGATTAGCTCTCTGCGTTCTCGAAATTGCCATTTTGTTGGTATTAAATTTTGATGGTTATATGAATTTATTGTCATCATTGATCTCTAAGAATGTTTATCGTGTGTGTGTCGACAATTCTGAGCTCTAGTTAACCGTTGCTTATTGTGTATATGTAGGTAGTACAGAGGAATACTGGAAGAGAGATGATGCGGCTCAAGTCATGGCTCTTGTAAGTAAAAAAAGTTTGTTACTTTCATTGGTTTCTTTCAGGAGGTAGAAGAAGGTCGTTGTTCTTGTTTCTTGTTGCTTCCTGTGGGTTTAAAGACTGATTAACAACAATTTTGCGGCTCATGACTGGCCAGTAGCGTTTAGTCTATATCAATGCTTCATGAATTAACGTAAAATTGCTTGACAATATCTATAATTTTGCTTCCATTTAGCAAAATGCATTTGTGTTTTGTGATTTCAGTTAATGTGGGAAGGACTTGGGCTAGGAGGCGGTGAAGCCGTGGGGAACTGGAACAGGTATATTTATGGTAGCTTGACCATTACCACGACATAAAGAAGAAAAGTAGTATCGATCTAAATTAATGTGGATCGTTTTTGGTGGACAGTGAAACTGGAAAGAGGAAAGTTCTCTTAGGGATTGGAGGTGGACACTATGCTCCTCGTCACATGGATATAGTTTTGTAAGTTGTCAAGAACTCTGCTTTGTGCGAGCACAACATTGAATCTGTTCTTTTGCTCATTGTTTTGATTCTGCAATCATCAGGAAAGACGATATTTGGGTAGGCCATTTACTTTCTGGATACTCATTACCGATGGAAGATCCAACTCAAACCAAAACAACGCCTGTAGATAATTACATTGGTGGAAATTGGAGACAGTCTATTAAGGCAGCATTTGAAGCTACTAAAGCAGCATTCCCAGGAGGCGAAATATTGGCTCATCTTGACCACAAGTAAACTCTATAACTTCCTTCCTCTCTTGATATTGTTTGCTTTCTTGATCCTCGCATTGGATAACGAGTAACGGGGTTTGTTTTTCTTTATTGCAGGAGCTTCAAAGGATGGCAAAAGAAGGCCATTACAGAGTTTTTGGCTGAAGAGAGTATCAATGTTGGGAAGCCAAACGATTTCACATAAACTGTGAGACCCTAAAACATGTTTATGGATTCAGAATCTATCATTTGATGATGGGTTTAGATTATTTTCAACTATTACAACTAAGTTGAGATTGGAATTCATCTGTAAAAGTTTCACTTTCAGATTTAGATAGAAGAAGAATAAAACATGAAAAGACAAAACAGGAGAAATGTAGAATAAAACACAAGTTGAGTTTTTGTTTTTGTTTTTGTCTCTTTTCAATTGTTGAGAGATTTTTGAGAATTTCAAATTTGTCACTTTTATCTCTCTATTAGTCAGTGGCATAGTTGACTTTACTGAAGTTTTGGATAGGAAATTCCTTTTGAGTTTGATGGTTTCTAACTTTGTCTGAAGCTTCACAAATTACAATTTCAAAATTAGTTTATTTAGCTAAATTATTGAAAATTTAGACCAAGGAGATACAGTAACATTTTATTCAAGTAAGTCAACTGATCACTATATCAATTATGAATTGGTCATTTTCGCACTTTTGTTAGTGCTTTTTCTTTTGCTTCGTTTTCCTCGAAGAGGGGGAGAAATTATGATGTGGGGATGTGAAAATCAGATAAAGAACCACTTTGGTACTTTGTTTGTGGTTCAATAGTATCATCATATTTCATATAGTTTTCTTATAATTTATATTTTGAACTATGTGTTTGAAATAAGAACTTATAAATTATCCATTCCAAAGAACTTATATTGCATTCCGGTTAGTTAGAAAACTAAATCACGTCTAATCTGGGGAATTGAAAATAACGTGACTAGGGGAAAAAAAAATACAGTACATGACATTATCTAATGCATGCACCTATGTATTAAATAGGGACATTTTTTTTTTTTGGTTAATATTAATTAGGGACATTGCCATGTTTATTTTCTTGGTATTCAAAACCTTCCCGATTGAAATTTGAGATAATATATTTTTGAACGAAAATGATTCATATTTCATATTGTAACCCTAACAAATAGTATTTTATTTATTTACATCTTCATCTAATATATTTTAAAACATTATATCGGAGATAACTTGGTAAGCGAAATGCATATTTTACGAACCAAAGACCTAATTATTTTGGACTATAAAAACCCATCTATAAAATGAATCCCATGAATCTGAAAGAAAAATTGTCTAGTTCTTGGTATATATTGTCTTAGCATATTTACTTTATGTGTTTAGAAAAATTTAAATTATGTTAGTGTTATCATTATGTTAAGGTTGTCGATATATATATATATATATATCTTGTTTTCAGTATTAAACACAACTTACTAAACTATTATATTCTATATTATTTGTCAGATTTCATAAAATAACATTAGTTACTCAAACTATTCACATCTTCGTCAAATAATACTCTCTCTATTTCATAATATAAGTCGATTTTTGAATGACAAAAATTTATATGTGTGAATTTTTGAATGACAAACTATTCACACCTTTACTTAAGTGTGAAATACTGGATATTTGAATGACAAAAATTCATATTTCGAATTTCTATGAAAGTATTAGATATCAAAAAGAAAAAAATATATATATACAAAGTATATATTAATATATTACATAGATAATATCACACAAAAGAAATGGAACCATAAGAAATCAACTTGTATTAAACTAAGAAAATGTTGGCAATGTAGATAGTAGATACATCAAAAATATAATTATAGGTATACTAAGATTGAAACGTAGGGCCAACATAGCCAACGAAACATAGCCGTCGATTAGTAGGAAACAGTTAATAAACTCGCTAGCACACGCAGAGATCCTACGGTACTCATTACCTTCGGACTATATTAATACTATACACCTCCACGTACCCAACTAATTTTTTTTATATTTTCGATATTTATAATTTTATTATTTTGACATAACACGACGAAGTATAAGCTTTTTATTTCATTTAAACAAAAGTAGTCCTAAAGAAGATATCCATCCACTTGTGTAAGAATCAATACTTTGTTTTGTTCCTCGTAGTAACTAATTTATATATATTTGCAAAACCGATCCCTAAACTTTAACATTACTCTCACTTTGTAACCAAGAAACAACAATACTAATGAGTAGGGGTGGGCATTTCGGTTTAACTTCGGGTTCGGTTTGGGTTCGGTTCGGTTCGGTTTTTTGGGTTTCGTAAAACTCTAACCAAACTCAACCGAAGTTAGTTTGGTTCGGTTTGTGTTTGGGTCAGTTTATGTTTGGTTCGGTTTGGTTCGGTTCGGTTTTAATTCGGTTTGGTTTGAATTCGGTTCAAAAAATCAATTAATGTAACAAAACAAAAAAAATTCATTGTCTTTGAAGTTTGAACATTGAAATTGATAAAGTAATTAAATATCAAGTTCAAGTTGTAAGTTTTTTAGAAGGAGAACCCTAAGTTTTTTAGGGTTAGATTTTTAGAGATAATTAAATCTATTTTACATTTATTCAAATTATTATAAAATAAAAATAAACACATATTTAGTTATTTATAATATTATTAATATAATTAATTAATTAATTAAATAAACACATTGGGTTATCGGTTCGGTTCGGTTTAAAACCGAACCGAACCGACCCATTTGGGTTGAAAATAAACCCAACCGAATGGTTTGAGTCTAAGCTTGGGTTCGGTTTAGGTCGGTTTGAGTTCGGTTGGGTTGGGTCGGTTCGGTTTGGTTCGGTTTAAATGCCCACCCCTACTAATGAGACACACGAGATTATTATGCACTGGGTTCTCTGGGTCCCACTGCTTCTGCTTTTGTCGGCTTGCGTTTTGTGGGTGGAGAATATATGTCATGAGAAACGTATCATCTAACCGTTAGATCAACGACGTCCACATATATTATTGTACACCACATCACACCCAATTATAACCTCTCCTTCCCACTTTCTTCTTCTCTCGAAGCTTTTTTTTTCTTTCTTCATTAGTCATTTCTAAGTCCAACCATCTGATTTTTGGACAAGACCTTTTGTTCTTCTCTCTCTGAAACCCAATTTGAGGTTGTTCGATTCGATCTACGAGATTCTTGATCTTATTACAAGAACTTAGGCGGCTTCAGTTTTTATTTGGTCGGGTGATGATCTTCTCGATGTCTGTGCTAGGTAAATTCTTTTTTATTTTTGAAGTTGTATTAAATTCTTTAATTTAGTTTAGTAATTAGTATTAAATGCTTAATCTTTATACGAATCTTGATACTGGGTCGTCTCTAACTCCGTAGAAAATGGAACCAATTTGCCGACTTTTTATAATTTGGTTAAAAGATTTTAGCAAATGCTTTAATTTTGGGGTTTTGTTTGTTTCAAAGATGTCTATTGGTAAGTACTTGAGTCTAAAGATCGTTGGTCGAGCATAGGACAAATCAATTTTGAGTCTTTACGAAGATTGTAATTGACATAGAAATTTCCAAAAGTGGAGACTTTTAGTGGTTATTCTGCAAAATTTTGTTCCTAATTGTTGTTTCTGTGGAATTTAGTGTGAATTCACTGAAATGATTTGGTTTTTGTTTGTTTGATTTCTTCTTCAGGCTTTGGGAAGTAAATATATTTGGTGTTAAGCTTGAGTCTCTCTGGTTTTGAGCTGACTTGAGTTTGTTAGTATTATGGCTGAGGTGAGCAAAGTTCCGGCTAGTGACATGGAACTAGACCATTCAAGCGAGACTAAAGCAGGGGATGATGTTGTTTCCGCCACTGATAAAGCGGAGGTCACATCAGTGACTGTAACTAAAACTGAAACCGTTGTTGAAAGTTCGAAATCTACGGACTGCAAGGAGCTACAACAACTTGTTCCTCATACCGTAGCTTCGCAGTCAGAAGTAGATGTGGCTTCCCCGACATCCGAGAAAGCACCGAAGATTTCGGAAAGTAGCACTGCGTTATCTTTGCAATCTGGTTCGGAAGGGAATAGCCCGTTTATTCGGGAGAAAGTTATGGAAGACGGATACAACTGGCGGAAATATGGGCAGAAACTTGTTAAAGGAAATGAGTTTGTAAGGAGCTATTACAGGTGCACACACCCAAACTGCAAAGCGAAAAAGCAGTTGGAACGGTCGTCTGGTGGACAAGTCGTGGACACCGTTTACTTTGGTGAACATGATCATCCAAAGCCTCTTACTGGCGCTGTTCTTATCAACCAGGATAAACGAAGTGATATCTTCACAGCTGTTAGTAAAGGTGAAAAAAGAACAGATATAGTTTTTTTTTTTTTTTTATAAGCTGTGCACTTTTTCTTATGGTATCATGTTTGTAGAGAAAACATCGGGATCCAGTGTTCAGACACTTCGTCAAACCGAACCACCAAAGATCCATGGAGGATTACATGTTACAGTTATTCCACCAGCTGAAGATGTGAAAACTGATATTTCACAATCAAGTAGGATAAAAGGCGACAACAGTCACAAGGATTATAATAGTCCTACCTCAAAGCGAAGGTATTGATGATCGATATTTCCGTTTTTTTTTGGGTGATTCTGGTGGAAGGCTTCACCATTGGTGTTCTTTATCTTAAATCAGGAAGAAAGGAGGGAACATCGAGCTGAGTCCAGTGGAGAGGTCAACCAATGATTCACGCATTGTGGTTCACACTCAGACTCTGTTTGATATTGTGAATGATGGGTACCGATGGCGTAAATATGGTCAGAAATCAGTGAAAGGCAGCCCATATCCAAGGTAGTGATTGATTACATGTTAAAAATGTGATTTCGAACCTTCGATTTCATTCTTCTCTGCTTACGTTCTTTCTTCATTTGATGTTTAATGCATTAGGAGCTACTATAGATGTTCAAGCTCTGGATGCCCCGTCAAGAAACACGTAGAGAGGTCATCTCATGACACAAAGTTACTTATAACGACTTACGAGGGAAAACATGACCACGATATGCCTCCAGGAAGAGTTGTTACTCATAATAACATGCTGGACTCGGAAGTTGATGATAAAGAAGGAGATGCCAACAAGACTCCACAGAGCTCAGCTCTTCAATCCACTACAAAAGACCAGCATGTCGAAGATCACCCAAGAAAGAAGGCGAAGACTAATGGCTTTGAGAAAAGTCTTGATCAAGGTCCAGTTTTGGATGAGAAGCTGAAGGAGAAAATAAAAGACAGATCAGATGTGAACAAAGATCACGCAGCCAATCACGCCAAGCCGGAGACAAAGTCAGATGATAAAACCACTGCTTGTCATGAGAAGGCAGTGGAAACCCTGGAGAATAAGGAACAGAAACCCAAGACAGAGCCTGCCCGAAGCTAAGCATTCGGTGTTGTATCGAGTGGTAATTTATATGGCTGTTTAACATAGATTAGTACAGGCGTTATGATTATAGACTGTACAGTTGTTGTTCAGGCGGGACCAAATTTAGATTAGTGTTTAATGGAATAGTATGCTTTAATACCTTTATGTAACCACTTCCATTTGGTTCAAATAAGAGTTACAGGAAGAGAAGGTAACACAACAAGAGCCTTTCTTTGTTGATGGAGCCTGTGTAATAGTTGTAGCATTGGGATGTATATGATTTGATTCAACCTTATTAATGGTATTGAAACAAAACTATCTATTACTTCCAGTTCTGTCTTTTGCATTACATTCTTGGAGACATTTATTCTTTCACTTCCATGCACAAGATGAGACCAAGATTCTGCCCATCCAACCAAGGTACAGAGCACCATCTCTTTCTTCAATCCCATACCCGTTGCTGTAATCTCTCAAGAGGGCTCTAATGGTGGCTGAAATGATTGAGCTCAAGGGGTATGGCTCAAAACCCGCCATGGAAAACCTTGACTTCCATTTCCCGAGAAGCTCATGTCTTTCGATCCTCTCAGCTCCTTCACAAGCTATGATGTTGACGACATCCCTTGCCAAGCAGTGCTGCTCGATATTGATCCTTTCTTTGTGATTTCTCGGAAGCATCACATCGATAGATTCAAACATTGCCGTGTAATAACTTAATGTCTCAAGGAACCTAGGAAGGAAAGGGGAAGTGTTCGTGTTGCATTCTTGTTCCACAAGAGTGACTACTTTAGGTGATAGACTCTTCACCATCCTCAGCAACTGGTCCCTGTGGTTTTCCATGCTTACACTCTCATCTGGCAAATGGTGCAGCATGTAAGCAAAGTTCACTCCAAGGGCTTCGCCTTCTCGGACATCAAGATTTTCCACTTCAACTTCACAACTTGGCCTTGAAACCGCATTGAACCTGAATGGGACATCAAACTTCTTTGCAAGTTTCTCTAATCTTTTCTTGACTGTAACCAAGACAGATACATCACCAACTCCGGTAATTCGAATATTTGGAGCCCCACCAGGCCTAGCTGCAAAAGCCTGAATCAGTGAAATCCACTGGCTCCCTTGCCCAATTTGGAAGTCAATAATGTGGATCCTCTCTTCATCCTTCATTGCTTCTGCGATTGCACCATTCGCTGACATGTACCCAAACTTGAAATATGGGCAAACCTCATGCAGAACATACACATAAGATAAAAATTCATAACTCTCCGGTTCTCTGGATTGAAGAGACTTGTATATCGAACTACCAGAGGCAGCAAGCCTTGCCACAAGCCCTTCTAACATGTAAGCTCCCAACCTCTGGATTGGCTCACCAGATATCGAAACCATACCGCGTAACTCACCCATACACCATCGTGCCATCAGAAGATTATTCTCAGAAACAGCTTTTGCACAAGCAACCAGTACCAATTTCAAGTCTCCCCTTGATATTGCCTCCACTATCAACAACAAATCATTAGCCTCTTCAGGCCACATGGAGAGTTTATGACAGATAGCATCATCGATACTCTCAGCTATATCTGGCAATGGCTTCAACATTATTGTTTCCACTTCTCTCAGATTGTGTCTCGAACCTCTTACATTTTCCATCACAAATAAGCAAGTAAGAAACTTAGAGCATCAACCATTATCCTCAGAAAATGACCTTTATTTATCTGATCTATATAGAAGGCTACACACCTGTAGAATTCATAGACAAAGTCTTTAATCAGATTGAATTAGATATCAAACTGAACAATCATATCCATGGAGATCAAGGACTCTAGTATCATTAAAATCAACTCATGAGGCTATGAATCTACATCAACTATGAACTACTACATCAATAAACAAGACATAAAGAGTTCCAATCATAAACCAACACACTTCCATTATCACAATTTGACAATTTCTCTTCAGAGTTTAGTATAAACTTGAGAGTAAGAGCAATCATTCACAACAAACCAACATCAAACTTAACAATAACTTCGTTTTAAATGCAAAATTGTAAACAAAGAAGAGAATTTTCAAGTTTTGTGGATAAGAAGAAGCAGATCATCAAAATCATCTAGAAAAGAGAACAAAGGTTAGATTTTTATTGGAAAAAAACCAACCTTGTGTAGATTAAGAAGTGATTTTTCTTTGGAAATCGATAAGAGATTTGCTTATGCAAGTGAGAGATCCACACAAAGCTCGAAGTTGAAGCAAAAGGAAGAATCTTTTTTAGTTGCTGTAGTAAAGAAAATAACACACCTCATACGACGCCGTTTTCAGCTTAAACCATCCACTTGACACATCTCTCTTAAAGTCTCTGGTCAAATGGGAAATTGTGTAAGAAGCAATCTAAGAGACATCAGAGGAAGACGATCGATGGATCCTCGGATATGGCACAAAGTCGCAGCTATTTCCGGTGAGATTTTTTTGATAAAGCTTTGATTTTGATGTTGTAAGGAAGGTCCTGATTCGTTTAGAATTTGTTTAGGTATGGCTGCTCTTGGTTTGGGAACTTACGGTGCTCATGTCTTTAAACCAGAAAACCCTTCTTACAAACAGGTTTAGATTCTTGAAATTGTTGGAAAAGTCGATTGCTTTTTGAACATTTAGCTATCTTGGTTTTGCATTTGTTGTTGGATTTGTCTGAGAAAGTTTAGGTTTTTTTTGTTCAGGTGTGGCAAACGGCTTCTCTTTACCATTTGGTTCACACTGCTGCTCTTGTTTCTGCTCCTAGTACCAAATATCCCAACATTGTAAGCTTTCTCTTCTTTCTCTGTTTCTCTAGTTTGTGTTCTTAGATAGTTGATGGAGCTGAAATATCATTTTATTGCTCAGTTTGGTGGCTTGTTGACTGCTGGGATTGTAGCCTTTTCCGGCACATAAGTTGTTATCTTTTTGTTTCTCAGATTCCTCAGTTTAAGCTCTTGAATGGATGTGTTGGTAGAGTTTTTGTGCTTCATGTTTGTTTGGATATATTGTAATTGAGATTATAGTAGTGCATCATGGTTATTTGAGCGATTTCGATATGATTTGGAGTTTCCAGTATAGACTCTAAGCTCTGGCACTAGCAATACTTGCCACAATTCTCAGTTGCTAGGGAGATTTTATCGATTTCGACATGTGTCTAACTCTGAATCATTTGAAAAGCATTGCATCACTTATTAATAGCATAGGTGTTTGTATTTGAGTTAATGATGCTTTTTTATGAAATAGTAGTTGTCCCCTTGTATTTCCTTCGAATTCGATATTTGAAATTATGGTCTTTTGCGAAAGAACTAAATTTCAGATGCTTACTAGGTAACTCTAATGTTTTGGATCAGTCCGGGTATGAATATGTGAGAAGTTTCATGTTTGTCAAAATGCTGCAGGTGCTATATGGTAGCGCTGCGTGAGGACAGAAAGTTTTCTACCTTGGCACCATTCGGAGGCTTTGCGTTCATTGCTGCATGGGCAACTTTACTTTTCTAAACAATCTCAAAACCATCTATAAGGTCAAGTTGTGGTCAAGCTTATCCTACATATGAACTCACTGTTTTTTCCCTAAGAGATTGCTTAATACAATACCGTGTCGACAAACATAAATCATCTTCCTTTACTTGTTCACTTTGTTGCTAAAGGGATTATGTAAATGACCAGAATAATGTAATCTTATTACCATACAAATTATCAAAATTCTACATTAGAGAAACTTCCAAGTTCCAACAAAGATTGGATTTAGTTTATATTGTGCAACAGTAGTAACTATGAAAAACATTCACTCTATTCATCATCTTTTCATGTCATCTTGGCCCTTTCCTTTGAATTATTGGATATACTCAAAATGGCACGAACCATTACCTATCAAATCATGAGATAATCAGTCACAAATGGTTCAAGATCTTGATTGATCAAAGAGCTTAAATAACTGTTAACAAAAGGGTTTATATAAAGTTGCTTACTAGGGTCGCGCTGCGTGATTACTGCAGCGCTGTGGAAGTCACAGGTACCGCCCTTGTGCTTATAACGCTGATAATAATCATTGAAGACAACAGAGGCATGGTCCTTAACAGTGTTGGGCAAGAAGCAAGGCTGGTCAGGCTGAATCTTACTGCAGTCTGCTCCGCCTATTTGACAGGCCCAGTCTAAGGCTGCTTGTATCACATTATCTGGTATTTGTGGATCAGCTACACACCATTGTCCGAATTCCGCTTTCGCTATAAAAATAAGATACACAGATTATATCTTTGAGATTATGTGTATGAGAGTAGATGTTACAATAATGTTGTACCTGTAAACGTTACTGTTATGAAAAGTAGAGCAATTGCTATCTTTAACCAAAGAGTTTTCATCTTCACAAGAGGCAAGTTGAAAGGTTTGAGAGCTTAAAAATGGTCATAACTCTGGTATTTATAGTGCTAGTATTCTGTGTTTAGAATGAATTATACTTTGACCAACAAAATAAAGAATAATGAATTATACAAGATCTTAAACTTATGTGTAATTCTTATCAACTGCCAAATTATTGACTATGAATTTGATACAAATATATATGGTCAAATTATCTTGTATGGAATGTGGTCAAGCTTATCCTACATATGAATTCACTGTTTTTCTCTAAGAGATTGCTTAATACAATCATAAAGCTTCTTTCTTTACTTGTGCTCTTTGTTGCTGAAGGGATAATGTCAATTACCAAATTGATGTAATTTGAATTCCATATATCTTATTAAAATTCTACATTAGAACATAATATCTGTTTCCTTAGCTGGAGAAGAAGAGAAAAGTGAAACATCTCATCTTTACAATATTTACCACTTTTCTTAAATACTGTACACTTAAGTACTCATTATACATTTTACATTTGTCATCTTTGATATAAAAGTTTGGCAATAAATTTCTAAGGTTTCTTATAATATTTTTTTAATAAAGAAAAATAATTATGCTATCTACCTAACAATTTTAGAACATTTATGGTGATGAAAAAAATTTATGGTAAAATATATAATTTTTATACAAGTCTATTTTATCATTAATTAATAAATAAATTTACACCCTAATTTCTTGTTTGTATATAAGACAAAGAAAGGGGCAAAACGTGAAAAAACTCAAACCCCTAATTTCTACTACAAAGCTTTTGAGTCGCTTTCTTCTTTCACAAGAGAAACGATGTCCGATCTTCCACAGGATTTGGTAGAAGAAATACTCTCAAGGATCCCAGCCACATCTCTGAAACGATTACGATCCACTTGCAAACAATGGAACTCTATAATCAAGAACCGAAGATTCACCGAGAAGCACTTTCGTGAAGCTCCAAAGCAGTCACATGCTCTGTTATGGAACGATCGTAGGGTTTGTCCAATGAGCATCAATCTCAACGTTGCTCCTCCATCTATAGAGTTTAAGAGTGTACTTAGTATTAAGGACTCAGAACGCGTCTATATATCCAATGTTTCTCACTGCGACGGTTTATTGTTATGCACCACCGATGATGGTAGACTCGTAGTTTGGAATCCGTGTTTGGGGCAAACCAGGTGGATCAACTTTGAAAATGATTACAAGACATACTATAGGTTTGCTCTAGGATACAAAAATAACAAATCTTGCCGTAGCTACAAACTCTTGAGGTTTTGGACATCTTATTTTACACCAAACCATATTGGTCTCGTGTATAATATCTATGAGTTTACCTCTGATTCGTGGAGGGTTCTTCTTGATAAAGTCTCTCTCAACTACTTTCTAATAGAATCAGAGAATGGTGTGTCTATCAAGGGAAATACTTATTGGCTTGCTTTAGATGTCGAAACAAATTTGTTACTCGGTTTTGATTTTACAATGGAGAGATTTAAACGTTTGTGTCTTCCCTCAAATAAGTATGGTGATACGATGGTTCTATCTGTTGTTAGAGAAGAAAAACTCTTAGTGTCACATCAGAACTCTCGTTCATCAAAGATGGATATTTGGATGACCAATATAATTGATAGTGAAACCGCCTTGTCCTGGAAGAAGTACTTTTCTGTGGAGTTTAAAATCCTTAGTACTTGTCATTCTTTTCCCTTTTGCATTAGTTTTCTGATCGATGAGGAGAAGAAAGTTGTCGTATCGACTGTAAGGGGTAATGAGAATATGGTAAACATTATTGGAGCGTTCGATGCATATTACGTAGAGGTCCCTGTGGAATCAACAAATTGTCCACATAGTCCATGTATTTTTAGTTATGTTCCAAGTTTGGTTCAAATCTAGTAATGTAAAGGCAAAAAAATAAAATAAAACTAGTCTTGAAAAGTAAGGAAATGATTTCTTGCAGTTCTTTCTTCGGTTTTGTTTTTCTAAAAAGAATGTAGTTTGATTAATTTAATGAATTGATTATTAATATAAATATTTTTTTTTTTGTATATCACTTGGTTCTTAGTGATTCCTTTCTTAAGAGATCATGTTCTTGGGAAATGTCCGTTCTGCTTATATATATAACGTAACCTCACTTTTTGTTACTACTAAATATATATGTACCATTAACGCTGGTAATAATTATTGAAGACAGAAGATGCATGGTCCTTGATAGTGTTGGGCTTGAAGCAATGCTGCTTAGGCTTAATCTTACTGCAGTCTACTCTACCGGCTTGACAAGCCTAGTCTATGGCTGCTCCTCTTGTAATAGATCATCTTGTGCCATTTTATCGGCTACGCGTACCATTGTTCAATCTCCACTTCTATTATGAAAAGAAATACACATATATACTTGTGAACTGCGTGTATGCAATATGGACCTTACAATTGTTGGTTTAAGTTTGAGTCAAGATTAATATTCGGTTTAGTATGGTTTACAAAAGAGATAAAGTTTTATGTGTTTTAGGAGTTATCTAGAATACAATCCTAATCCAAGTGGGATTAGGTCTTAGAGATTTCTTATATAAGAGGTACCAAAGTTTGTGGTATACCCTTATGAGTTGAGAGATTTAGATTGTGAGTGCTTAAGGTTTTGAGTTAGTTTCCTCAAGCAATAAAGAAGAGAGTTCTTTATAATTCATAATCTTGTTCTTATATTTTTGTGCTTTGATTCTTTAATTGGTAATGTTTTTACCTGAATTTTGTGAAAACGTTACTAATATGAAAAACAGAGCAATTGTTATCCTTGACAAGAAAGGCAAGTTTGAGAACTTAACGCTGGTGCGAAGTTGAGTATTTAATAATTAGAAAATATCATGTAAAATTAATACACGATTTTGTAATTGATGTATATTTCTTATATACAGCAAAAATTCTTAGGTGAATAAGGAGAAGTTAAAAAGTAATTATTAAATTTGGGTCATTTAGGATATAAATCCTATGGGATCACTTAATACAATATTTACCACTTTTCTTAAATACTGTATAAACTTAAGTCATTACACATTGTACATTTGTCATCTTTGATATAAAAACTTTGGGAGTAAATTTCTTTTTCTAGAAAAAAACAAAAAACTTTGGCAATAAATTTCAAATATTTCTTACAATTGTTTTTAATAAAGAAAAATAATTATTGTATCTATCTAATGTTTTTGAATATCTATGGTGATTTAAAGAATTTCTGGTAACATTTATAATTTTGTATACAAGTCTATCTTATCATTAATTATAATAAATAAATTAACACCCTAATTATTTCTTGTTTGTATATAAGACAAAGATTGGTTTAAGGGGGAAAACGTGAAAAAACTCAAAACCCTAATTTCTACTAAAGAGCCTTTGAGTCACTTTCTTTTTTTACAAGAGAAACGATGTCAGATCTTCCACCGGATTTGGTAGAAGAAATACTCTCTCGTGTCCCGGCTACATCTCTGAAACGGTTACGATCTACTTGCAAAGAATGGAACGCTTTATTAAATAACCGAAGATTCACCGAAAAGCACTTTCGTGAAGCTCCAAAGCAGTCTCATGCTCTCTTACGGAAGGATTTTAGGGTTTGTCCAATGAGAATCAATCTCAACGTTGCTGCTCCGTCTATAGAGTTTAAGAGTGTTCTTAGCCTAAAGAATTCACATACTAATTCAGAACATATCGATATAGCCAAAGTTGTTCACTGCGATGGTTTGTTGTTATGCACCACCAAGGATGGTAGACTCGTACTTTGGAACCCGTGTTTAGGGGAAACAAGGTGGATCCAACTCGAAGCTGATTACGAGAAACACACTAGGTTTGCTCTAGGATACCAAAATAACAAATCTTGCCGTTGCTACAAAATCTTGAGGTTCTCGAAATCTTATTTGACACCAAACCATATGGATGTCGTGTCTAAAATCTATGAGTTAACCTCTGATTCATGGAGGGTTCTTCTTGAT